AAAAAAAAAAAAAGAAACAACAGAAATTTATTCTCTCATACTTGAAAAGTTGAAATCAAGGTGTCAGCAGTGCCATACTCCCTCCAAAGACTCTCAGAAAATTCCATTCCTTGCCTCCTCCTTGGCTTGTAACTACAATATTTTAATCTGTGCCTTCATCTTTACATCATCTTCTCTGTATGTCTCTTCTGTTCTGGGTCTCTCTTAGAAGGATACTTGTCATTGAATTTAGGACTCATGTGAAAAATCTAAGATAGCTCTTCAGTTCAGATTCTTAGCTACATGTCTCGGCACCTATAGCATAGTGGTTACAGAGCCAGCCACATACACCAAGGCTGGCAGGTTTAAACCAGCCCAGACAGCTAAACAACAATGACAACTGCAACAACAACAACAATAAAAATAGCCGGGCCTTGTGGTGAGGGCCTGTAGTCCCAGCTACTTGGGAGGGTAAGGCAAGAGAATCACTTAAGCCCAAGAGTTTGAGGTTGCTGTGATCTGTGACACCATAGCACTCTACTGAGGGAAACTTAGTGAGACTGTGTCTCAAAAATAAAAAATAATAAAAAAAGATTCTTCGCTACATCTGCAAAGACTTTTTCCAAATAGGGTAACGTTTACAGGTTCTGAAGATTAAGATAGGGACATATTTTGGGAGAGGTCACCAGCAAGCCCAAGAGAGCCAGCTTTCATACTCTAAAGTTACACTTTTCTCCTTTGTAATTAATAGTGATTGTGTGGGGCGATACCTTTTATATCTGTATGGACTCATGTATTCCTGGCTTATTCAGAGTTATAATACAATCGTTTATTATTTTGATGTTCAAATTGTCCTCAGTTTAGCCACTGGGAACCCCTTTGTGTTGGCTTCTGTATCCTTTTGACATGTCTCCATCATTTTTTGAGCACTTCCTTACTTTCTGGCATAATGAGATGCTTCAGTTTCATTGTATGCTTTGCTGACCAAAGCCCTGGAATCAGCTATTTCTCTAAGAAGCCTTATTCCTTTTAGAAGCAAATGGTATTTACAAACTGAGATCTGAATGAAAGGTGTGCTCATTGGTACTAGAGGGTAGCTTCTCCAAGCCCTCTCTCTTGAGTTCTGGCTCCCACAATCCTTAAATATTTACTTTTGATCATTCCCCTTACAGTGACCAAATTCCTATCCCTGCCACCATCCCCAGCTTGCAGGTACCTTTCATACTCCACACAGGCTCTGATGTTCCTTGCTGGGTTCCTCCCCCACTATATGGATACCTTCCTCACCCTTGCTCATTTAAAGTGCACAATTCAGTGGCTTTTTGTATTCAGAGAGTTGGTAAACCATCCCATCTAAAATCAATTATAGAACATTTTTTTTTTACCCCCAAAAGAAACTCCACACCTATTACAGACCTACAGCTAGAAGTCAGGTGTGGTTAAGGTGGGCAGCCCTTCTTCCTGGCTACCTCCTGCCATGGCCCAGAATGTCAGCAGGTTCTCAGACTTCACTTGACTCTATCATGGCAACCCTTTTCTGGCCTACCCAGCAGTCCCCACTGGCCCTTATCCTTCAGCTCCCTCTGTGAACTTCTAACCCTGCCTTCCTTTGGAGGAGACAAAGTGAGGGAAGAAGGGCTGCTTCTTGCCTTCCATCATTCAACAAGGTCACTTCCACCCTTCCCTGGGGAATTGGAAAGGAGAGGTGATGCTGGTGTACACACATGAGTCAGGGCCCTCCTGCTCAGAGGGGTGATGCGGGGGAGGACCCCAGAGTCTTTTCATCTTTGGTTCCAGGGCTTGAGGCTCAAAAACCAGAGCTTTCATGCTCTGTGAAATAAGAGTAGATTCTTTCTGTCATTGTTGTTGAGACAGCATCTCATTCTGTCATAGCAACCTCAAACTCTTGGCCTCAAGAGATCTCTTCCCTTAGTTTCCTGAGTAGCTGAGACTACAGGTGCCTGCCATAATGTCTGGCTAACTTTTCTATTTTTTTAGTAGAGATGGGGTCTCATTCTTGTTCAGGCTGGTCTTGACCTCCTTGAGCTCTGGTGATCCACCAACCTTGGCCTCCCAGGGTGCTAGAATTACAGGTGTGAACATGGCACCTGGCCCATAAGAGTAGATTCTTGATTATTTTAGCCCCTTGAATCCACCCTAAGAAGCTTCATGACAACAAAATCCAGAAAGAGAC